GCGCATGTGGAAGAACAGGGAACATGCAGTCAAAAAAAATCATTTTGTTTCATCCGAAACTGCTCCTGCTGCTTCAACTACCATGAGATAAAAGGTTAAGGCAGCTACGCCCACTTCACAAATCACATTCAGAATCCCTTTGCTCACAGCAGAGCTTCCTCCTCAGGACCTCCTAAGGACTACAACTGCTTTGTCAAATGCAAATGGTAAGCATAAATGTTACCCTCACCTCTGAATATTCTGAGCCACCAGTAACCCTTCGTCCCATACAAAACTACATTACAGTGAAACTCACCACCTACCTGATCACACTGAAAAAACACTTTGAGATAAGAAAGCAATACAGGGAAAGTTGAAAATGGAAACATTTCAAGTATTTTCCATTCCTCTTTCCCAGTCCTTTGGTGAGGGAGGATGCGAAGCTGAAGCATACCATGCATTTAAGAACTAGCACACGACTTCATTAAAATCTAAATATATCAATAATAAGAACATGTGAACACTTCCAACTTAGGTAGAAATTATTCCATCAGGATTTATAATAACATTCAACCAATAAACAACCACAAGGAAGGTAGGAAAGGAGGAACAGTGCGGAGCAAAATCAAGCACCTCTTTTTTCTGTAGTATTAAGATAGATACCAACTTCTACTTTGTTGATTCGTTCCCAAAGCACTAATCTGAGTTCATCTGCAGCCATTCGTACTTCACTTGAAAAGATGCCAGGAAAAAAATTTGGAACTACAACCGTTAATGCAATCTCTCAGCTCAGTCAACACTTCTCACACATGGAACACCAATGTAAGAAAGTTCAGGCATCTCTCTATGTGTTAAAAGAAACCAAACCATCTTGCTGCTTCAGAATAGTGCTGTTTCTGCTACAACGCACACTGTAGTGCACAAAGGATAAACAGACCAGAATGGAATCAAGTGAGTGACAGAGTAAACCTTATTCCTCCTTTCACAACTACTAGTGTCTTACATGGGCTTCAAAAGAACTGGGAAAGAAAGAAAAAAGAATCCTGCACATGTGGCTACAAAGAAATGACAGGTCTTAGAATCAATAAGAAAAGCTCCATTCAATTATCATTTATAACACAGCTCAGTTGAGTAGCAACTTCACTTTCAACCAAGATTCAAAACAGAATTTTCTTCTTGCAGTTTGATCCATGTAAAAGAACATTTTACACCCAAGAGCTTTCTTACACACCAAGCAAAAGCAAAAGCAAACCATAATTAAGTATTCTGCTTCTTATTAATTTGTTTAGGGAAAAAAAAAAAAAAGAAAAAAAAAAGTACCTGTCTATAAGCAAACAAACCTTACAAGAAGACAAGAAATATGAAATCCATTTTCAAACCATCACGACCCAAGAATTTGAAGTTCATCCTTATTGCTGCAATAGATGTTAGGAAAGTATCCACTAGCATCTACAAGGTAAAGCAAGAAAAAAACACTTTAAAAATAATAGAAAATAAAGTAAAATTTCTACAAGAGGCAGAAAAGTTTGTGGATAAAACTTAACAAATGAAATGTTACAGTTTTACACCACAGTACTGTTAAAAGTAGAAAGGCATCATAGTAACCTATCAAAGGAAAAGCCACACAGAAAATGTCAAAGCTCTTATTCAAAGCATCCCTGTACATCAGAACAGATAAGTATCTCTCACGATCCCATGGGACCGCAAATACTGATGTACCAGCAGTACTCTGACCCAGGGTTTTCCACATTTAATCAAAAGCTTGACAAGTGTGTCTGAGGCACACGACAGAAAGCCTCCCTATCTTCTTCCTCCATCTTAAATATACTTCAAGTTTATGAACAGGTAGGGGAGTGTAACTGCCAAAGCAGAAGAGAGAACACAGCAGCGCTGGGAAATGCCAGGAGGCATCCATCTGCAATCAACACACTGTCCATAAAAGCATGACCTTTTGCAGGCTGACCTCCAGTAATACACCAACCACACTGAGGTGAAGAGCACACAAGAATTACTCAACTCAGTCAGCAACTGAAGAGAGTTTCTGCCAAAGGGTCAGGAATGACATCACCCACTTTGATGCCAAGCAGCAACACACTTCCAGGAAATCTGAAGTGCTGGAAAATAAAAATTTAAAGCCAAACTGTAACCAGGTCCTCAAACAAAACAATGGCAGTGCAGACTTGCACAGAAATAGGATTTCAGATGGCATCCTTTAAGGAATGTGCACAGACACCTTTTCCAACCAGCTATGCCACTGTCACATCATTTGTTTAAAAATATTCCCACATGACTTTATGAACAGAGGAATCAAAACCACTGACTTTTTTCTATTTCAGCAACACAAAATTACATAGGAGAAAAAATACAGTAAAATGTTATTCATTCTGCAGAAGGCCTCTGAAACACTGGACAGAAGAATCCTCAGCCATGACCATTAGAAGAAATGCATATTATCCAGCAGATTTCTGCAGTGCTAGGACACAGAAATAAGTGCAATCAGTGCCAAGCGCTGACCCTGGCAGCAAGTTTTGCAGCTATGTCAAAGGCCAACAATTTGCCTCAGAATGCGCTGTTTGTGAAGCCTGGAATGACAGCCTATCTGGACATCTCTCCAAAAACCTCGCATGCATTATGAATCTTCAGGAGTGAGTGTCTGAAATACCACATACAGCGTATGCATGCGCAAAGGAAACGTTAGGATGAATGCTTACCTTAGGAAACTGAGTAAATAATAGAAAGGAGCATCATTTCTTAGTTGCGTAAGGTTTGGTGACAGCAGGGGTTTTGCAAAGCTTTCCTTTTTGGATACTGTATTTTATTTATGTTGTTTTGGCTTTTTTTTTTTTTTTCCTTCTTTCTTTTCTTTCTTTCTTTCTTTCTTTTTTTTTTTAAAGACATATTTATCTAAACAACAGTTATGAAATACTAAGACAGCACTGTTAATCAACTCTAGAGACTCCACCACCAGAGTACATAAAGATACTGCTCTGCTCAACAGGGCATGACAGAAGGCACAAACACACCCACCTTAGAAGCTGCTGATGATCACCTATGTACAGTAAGTGAAGGACTTGAAGGAGTACTTTCACCTTTATTTTATTTCAAATTACTGGATGGAGATGCCTGGAGTGTTCATGAAGGTATATCCCCTACTGTCTACTAAGTTAGATGATACTTCATTCTTACACAATATTAAGAGTAATTGCATTTAAGTACTAGCTTCCGCTGAACAATCCAGCTAAGATACATTCAGGAATACAACTCTGCCTTTAAGCAGTATTTGTCTGTGATCACAGATCACATAAAACTCTTGGAGAGTTCTGCATTTTGATGGCAAGAAATACATTCCAAATACAGTTGCAAAATACTAAGTGATTTTATGTTAATTTACATTTTAAACATAGCTTTGAATTCCACTGTATCATTTGGCTTATACACCAAATACAGTTGACATTATTTGGAAAAAAAGAGTTCTGTGGCATCAGCTACATTAGCTTCCAAGGAAAACGCTGCAACTAACTACTTAATGATACACAAAGGACTCTAAAACTGTTTTGAGTGTCAGCTGAATCCACATTGGTCTTGCAATTCCAATAACCACAAGCTGTGAAAAACAGAATTCCGAGAACTGAAGTCACAAATTTCATATTGTCTGAATAGCATCATTTAAAAAACAGAAAATTAAAAACAACAACAAAAACAACCAAAACTGGAAAATCATAGCTGTCATATCTCACCAGACCATTTTTATGTCTTCTATAAAATACTGAACAATCTTCTTTATAAAAGAAACAGAACAGTGGACTTCAATAACCTTAATATGAGAAACACAGGCACTGGGGGAGCCACAATTTTGACAATTTGTCCTCATCAAAGTTAAGTACACATACGGAACATTAGCTCTCTCACCATCTCAAGCAGTAAGTGATAATGAAGATGAGCCAAAGCTCCCTTTTCTGTTAATACAGATGTTGGCACAGAATTCACAGCCAATACGGCCCACTTCCAAACTCTCTAGGGCTCACAGCTGCAACATGAAAGGAACCTGCATCCTAACCATTTCATTCCTAGCTCTTCACATGAAAGGCAAACCTTAAAACAGTTGGAAGACACCACTCAGTAAGGACAACCATGCAATCCACACCTTTTTTTTTACATTTTTTTTTAACAGGGAAACAAAACAAAACATAACAGCAAACCACCATCACATTCTTTTTTCCCATAAAAAAAATAGCAAGTTTGTGGTATAAAAAGGGAAACAACAAGGGGGAAAATCTTGGATCAATTCAACAGAAGCTTTGTCATCAAGAGGATTCCAGCAGCACTGATCCAGAAAAGCACAGGTCCAAAAAACTCTGTCACCGGAGGTTAAGGGGAGAAGACCGGTAGCACAGTTCACCAATCCATCATCTGCTGAAATGCCCCGCGAGTCTCCTACTTTGGGACAATTCCGTTTTTTAAGCGTAGTCACCATTAACTTACTCATATAGATATTTAAACAACAACCTTGTAGAGTAAATTCATCTGCAAATACAAAACTCCGTAACTGTTGTAGCTTAGGCAGCAATCGTGTAGCATCAGCACCTCAACTCTCCTCACATCAACGCGCTTCAACTGCATCCTCACGAGAGCCCTGCGAGGCAAGCCGCCAACCCAGCAGCACGGGGACTGAATTCTCCCAGCAGGCCCACATGACTACAGACACTGATTCGATGTAACACAAGTGGTCGAGAAACGCGGGCCCCGTGTCAAACAGCTAGCAAGACGGATAGTTTCACACTTCCCTCCCACACTTCAGCCCCCAAAAACACCACCACACAGGACTTCCGCAGCCCCCTCGGCTTCAGCACAGCCCTGCACGGCTCGGGTGGGCAGACCCCACCCGCCAACCACGACGCCTACGAGTCCCCCGGCGGCCGCGCTACGCCGAACGGGGCTTCGAGCCGCAGCCGCGCGCTGCCCGCAGCCTGGCGCTTCGCACAGCCTCGCGCCCGCGCCGGGGTCGCGGGGAGGCTACCGACCTGCTCCGCCTCCCCCGCGGGCCCTGGCGGTTCGCTGCCGGCGGAGCCCTGCGTCGCTCCCATAGTAACATCGCCGCCCGGGCGCTAACGGCCGGAGCGCCGCGCTTCTCCCCCGCCGCCCGGGAAGGGCCGCAGGGAGCCCGGCCCGAGGGAGGGGCGGCGGTGGGGGGGGGGGGTGGCCGGAGCCCCGCAGGGACAAAGGCGGCAGTGAGGAGCCCCCACAGAGCGACTTTGTCCCGCCGGCACGCGGCCGCCCGCAGCCCTGCACAGCCAATCCGGCTGCGAAGGCGCCGGGAGGCGAGGAGATTTCTCCCCGGGATGAAAAGAATTGTTATTCTCCGTTTACAAAAATATTTCTTGTCTTCTTGCCCTTGGCAGCGGCCAGTAGCTGACGCCTGTCACGGGATAAACCAGGGAGATGCCCTGGGCGGGATCTGTGAGAGCAGTCAGGAGCTGTGGGATGGCACCTGCAGCATCACCCCACAGAAAGGCGCCCATCTCCTCTGCCTTCTCCGTCCGTGCGGTGTCGGAAGGAACGGCCACACACACCTGACGATTTCCCAAGCCCTCAGCCTCCATCAGGTGCCTTTCCGACACCCAGCAGGATTTTCACTTCTGTCTCCAACTGCTGCAGTTAATTCGGAGGCTGAGGCGATCATCTTGGCTTTGAGGCCATCATTACACAGCAGTGGTGTAGAGGTGACCGTACTGGCAGAGGCTTGAAGAAATGACTGGGTACAAAAAGCACAAAAAAAGCAGACTGGCAGAATTTCAACCATACGGTTATGTTAAATGCAGTTTCTTTCCGTGGTGCCTTTATTTGGGGTGGATGAGTCAGTACTGGAATCTTCTATTGGAAGGAAGAAGTACAGAACAAGGAGGAACTGACAGGGAAAAACTTTCTTAAGCCATAGCATTTAAAAAAGAAGACAAACAGTACGTTACTTTGTATGGCCTGCTCTCAAACTTGGAGAGAAAAAATCAGAAAAAATGCCAAACCATTAACTTTCATCTCATTTCTCCCCACAGTTTTATAAGGCACAGATAACATCCAACTTTTGTTGCAATACTAGCAGCCTGATGTACAGTGAAACATCAAGACCACTAGGAAAGTTAAAGCACAGAAGCCAGTGTCTTCTTATAAATGACATTCCATAGATTGAGATGCTATAATAGCATCTAGCCTCATCAGCTAAATGAGGGACAGCAGGGCAAGGTAAACTAGCTGCCATGCTGGGTAGTGCTGAGCACTTCTGTGCTTCTCTGAAATTAAAGATATCCTTCCAAGGAGCCAGCGCAGTCTGGGAATATCAGCACATGACACTATGCCACTGCTTCAGCAGAGAAAGACTGCCCAATGCTCACCTTCCTGAGAAGACAGGACATGAGGAAAACAACATGATCCACTTTTTGTTTTGCTAAGATACAGTAGGACTTTGCTACATGTGAGAACATAGTTTTAAAAACAAGAATAATTTTTGTTTTTCGGTCTCAGAGCAGTGTTTTTTTCTTCTTGTTATTCTTAAGAGAGCAGTTGCCAGACACAAAGTGAAATAGAGAAAGGAGTCAACAGATTCCCACTAATGCATTCTCTTAAGATGCAGATATTAAGTTAGTGGCTGCAAAATGTAGAGAACCAGCCTCCTGCAACCACCTCCCTCCCAAAGGCCCTGGCAGAGGAAGAAGAGCCAGCCTTCCAGCCTTCCCTTTTGATGCAGCCTTCTGTGGAAGGCTGTAGAGTGTAGGTAGCACCTGTCGGAGCAATCTAAGCTCATCCCATGCAAAACAGAGGAGGATTACTTCTCATTCCAGTCAAGAGCTGTGATTTGGCCTAAAGCCTTGTTTAAGCAAGTTTTGTGACCTTATCAGAGCCACATGGTGTTTTTTTTTTTTTTTTTAAGTTAGTGAACTTTGAGGTTATCAGACTGTGCTTCCTTGAGCTTTAAGGCTGCAGCCAAGGTTAACATACTTAGCTAGCCTGAGGTAAATGCAGCACAGATGTAGGAACTGACCATAGTAATTCAAGCAAAATAGACTTGTTTTTAATTCCTTAACACAAGTCATCACCTAGGAAGTGCCTATCAGTTTATTTCCATTCACTTTCCTGTAATAACACATGGAAAACAATTCATTTGGGCTTTTATTTTCTATGTTTCCCCATGAAAGCACAGTGGGCACTTTTTCTGCTTTTTTATTTATTTTTTCAAGCCAAACAACTGTTCTGCCACAACAGGCAGATAATTGTCACCTGAAACCCTGAGCCATGACTCCTGATGTTCAGACTCACACTTGAGCTTGGCAAAGTTTCCAGATGCTCATAACAATGTGACAGATTGATGTGACAATCACTGCAATCACAATTTACAAGTTACTCATCCTGCAGTTGGTCTGCAGAGAACAGACTTTAAGGCCTTTTTGGGTGCTTTCTTGCCTTTGACCAAGCTATCATCCCAATGCAGATGTGGTGTCTGGCCTTAAGAGGGGCGGACAATGCCAATGAAAACAGAAGTGGAAGAATAAAATACAGCAGTCAGACCGTGACAAGAGCTGCAAGAGCATCTCTAGCACCGCAAGTTACATAATTCCTACAGGAAAAGGAGAGCAGGTAACTAAGGTACCCAATTCACCTTACAGCTATTGCCTTAGAGGTCAGCATCCCTATTCTCTTGCCTTGCAGAGGGGTAGAGAAGAAAGAGGGGAGGTGGGGGAGTAAAAGATTCTCCTGAAATACAGCTCACACAAGCACATCTTTAAGTGAATAATCAGATACATCTTAGATTAGATAAAGAAGGCAACAAGACCCTGCCCAGTGGATTATGAAATGACTAATACAGAAGACCTACAGTCTAGCCAAAACTTGTCTGAGACAGCAGCAAAGCAGAAGAGGGGCCAGAGCCTCAGCAGGATGGTATGTTCTGCCTGTGCAGGTCTCCACACACCCAAGAGTGAGTGTCTGAAGGAAGGGCTGCCTTCACTTTTTACTCCCTCCCTTTGGAAAGGAAGATGCAGGTACAATTGGAGCCAGACTTTCAAAGGATACTGTTTCATGGAGATAAAAGTCTGGTTATCAGTATAATGTCAAAACCATACGAATTGGGCTAAAAATGTACAGCTCTGTCCTCATACGTGTTTAGGGAAAGCTGTTCTGCATGTGCAATAACTGTACAAAGCAGTATCACATTCAGGGATTTCATGAAATGTTATGTAGATCTTTAGAGATTTTATGATGAACTTCATGGAATATCTTATCATCATTAACTGTGTAAGATGCATGCATGCAAGCAAATAATTCCCAGTGATAACATTTCCCACTGAGTCTTTCAGTTTAGCTAATCGAGGTAGACACCGTTTGCTGCAGTTAATGTAGATTAGTTAATTTAAAGAGAAAGCTTGCTGTAGCTTGAGTCATGTAAAACCTTAGATGTATTCCATAAATTATCTAATGCTACTGTGAATGCAGTTGTTGTGTTGTTTCCAGCACCAGCAGAGGCACTATCCATTTAACACTGCACTATGGGATGCAAATTTAAACATGCAGTTGCCTCTCATGGTTACTCCTGCCAACCAAGCAAGGCTGTTCAGCAATTTGCCTGCAGCATAGCGTTGTGATGCAGGTGCTCTCTGCCCCATCCATACCTCCAATTGAGCCTTTTAACTAGTTCCTCTGACAATCACACCTATTTAGTTAATTCTTAAATGCTGGAATTCAACACTAGACAGCACTAGTAACTTTACTGACCTAGGAACTGATTTCAGTAAGAGACTGGGAATGTAGGTTGCCAGTTCAGCTGTTGAACTGTCTGAATACACACATCAGTTTTGCTTTTGTTTCTAAGCAGGTGTTCATGATCTTCTGATGAAAAGCACTGTAGAAGTTTCTAAAAATACCATGTTGCCAAACAGCCTTTTCCCTTTCCCTTCCAATCTCTTTAGACTGCTTTTTGTCATCAGCCTGCAAAATTACACAAATCAGTCAGCCCAGTCCTACTTAAATGATTCATAAATCCAATTATGTCCGCTTCTTTATATAGCGAGCTAGGCCCTAACAGATTCAACCTTCAGGATTAGAGGATGTGTAGGTAGCTGACCTCTGACTCTCTAACTGCTCAGGGCATATATATGGTTCAAATACACAGTTCTACACTGCAGTGAAGGCACATGAACAGTACAGCAATCCTAATGTGCCTTGGAGGGACTGGAAAAGCCACAGATGCTGTCTTCACAGCTGTTACTGCATGCAGATGTGAATCCAATGGAGGACCACCAAGACTGTGGGGACTGGAGCACTGACTCTGCAACAGGAGGGTTGTTCAGCCTGGAGAAGGATAGCTACAGGGGAACCTAACAGCAGCCCATCAACATTGACAAGAGGAGATCAAGAGACGCAGGACAGCATCTTCATGTAGTGCACAGCAGGAGAATGGGAGAGTGTAGACAAAAGCTCAAATGAGAGGGTCAGAATGGATGTAAGGAGAATTTCTTTTTTTCCCCCATGGAAATAGCCACATCACAGATCCAGAGAAGCTCTACTGTCTCTGACCTTGGAGCTTTTGAACCCCAGCTGGGTAAAAGCCCAAGCAACCCAGTGACCTTAGGCTGGTGAAGAGCCTAAGGGCTAGAAACCTCCTCAGGTTCCTTTCCACATGAATGATTCCATCATTCTTGAGCTGCCGCATGACTCAAGTGCTAGTGCCAGCTTACAGCAGGGCACCACATTCATCATCTTGCCCCCTGTCTCTGCTTCCAAAGTACAGCTTGTGATACACTGCAAAAAGATTCTGACATATAGCTTGTAGGGTCTGTAATACTGCCCTGTAAGGATGAACAAATATACTTGCTTTCCGTATCTAAAAGCAGTAATTCCCAGTTTGTTAATTTAGAAAGCAAAGGTTTCCCTGTAAGAAACACAGCCCAGCATAAACATATCCCATACTTCACATGTATTTTTTCTGAGGTAATAACCAGTACAAACCTCTTTATGACTCATCTGACCACATCCTTTGACCTTTACAAGGGATTTTATAATTATTATTATTATTTATTTATTTATTACAACCTAGGCATACAGATTTAGATATTTCACAAATGATGTTAGATTTGGAGTGCGAAGCAGCACAATTCTAAGCTAATAAATTTTGTATTCACAAAAGTAGGGAAAAGAATATTGTGACAGATGCTATATGATAAGCAACTTAGGAAGAGCACTACAGAAATTAATAGTAGGAAAGACTAAAATATATAGCATATTTTTCTCAATAGTTTTGAGTCTTTTTGGCCATCAAGTCTACTAGATCTCACACAAAGATTGCAAAGCTTTATTCTGCTGAAAAACATCAAGACACTGCTTGTTTCATATTGCCATATCTTTGCAAAGTAAGTGTGAAAGTATATTGATTAGCATAAAGATAGGTAACATCTCTATGATCTTTCCCTTTATTTTTTGATAAATAAAAATCAGCAGCACAAGAACAAGCTGAAGTGTTTGATAACCAGCAGTAAGAAAAAATGATAGTGGAGAGAATAAATAAATATAGCCTCTTATCTATCCTAAAAATGTTTATTCTAAGCACATTTGCATCTACAATGTTTTAAACTGCATAGCAGTATCTTGAAATGTACAT